GAATTTGGAAATTCCACTTTCGAAAGTGAAAAACTAATTTCAATTCCGTTAAAAAAATCAGAAATCAGAAATCGGAATTTCGGAAATTGTAGTGAAAAAACTTTTTTCCAAATCAGAAATTTTTGGATCGGAATCGATGGAATTTGGAAATTTCAATTTTTTTAGTCACCTAAAACATAAATATATAATAAAATTGATAATACTAGTGCAATTATCGTAACATAATCAGAAAATTTAGGTAATATTTTCAGAAACAAAATTGGATAGGAAATCGGAATCTAAAACATGTATTCCAATTCCGTTCCAAAAAAAAAAAAACGGATCTTCGGAACTCGGAATAAAAGATGTTGTTCCAAAATCGGAAATTTTCGTATCGGAAATTCCGTTTCAATTCCCACCACTATTCACTACAATACGTCGTGGACAACATCCCAATTAAACGGAAAAGACGAAACAGGAAAGACACAACTCATTATTCATTCCCACTTTGATAAAAGTTAATAGTACCGTAATAAAAAGTTCGATCAAACCATAAAAAATAAAAAATAAAAAATAAAAGAACATAGCAAAATCGAGACGAGTGTAAGAAGACAAAAACGCGGCACTGATTATAGTGGGACTCGATAAACAATCTTTTCTTAACAAATGATATTTCATGATTGCTTATCACGAAAAAGATAACAGAACGCCACTAAGACAAAATCATGATATACAACGAATCACCACCCCCGAAAAAACACACTTCACTAAATCTTGCTTAAACTAAAATTAAAAAAATAAAATAAAATATGGATGTAATGAACGAAAACACGAACACTTCATTACGGGCTACGGGCCCTACATTTTTGTTTTTTAAATGTGGATTAATTATGTGAACCCATCACCAATTCACCAACCACCACCACAATTTAACCATTCATTGTGAATTTAATTGATAAATATATTATAAAAAAAAATAAAAATAATAAAATAAAAATTGATGCCCTATTTGGATTATTAAGAAAACAAGCACATGCCAACATTTCATCACTATGAACCGTTCATATTAAATGTTCAATAAAACAACATCCCAATTTTTTTTTATTTTTTTTAGTGAAACACACATCAATTCAATTCCGACAAAATTCCGACAAAATTAAAAAAATTTTTAATTTAAAAAAAAAAAAAAAAAAAACATACCAGCAACAACAGAAATGTTCTTGAACTTGTAGCGCTCGACGAACAAATCAATGGTGTCTTTGAAGACTTTTGGGTCGAGTAAAAGTGTGGTTATGTCTTGAAACATTATCCCTGTTCAAAACCCCATTATTTTTTTATTATTTATTATTTATTAATTCATTACCAATAAAAAAAAATCAGAAAAAATAATTAAAAATAGAATCTTTGAGGCATAAATGAAAAAAAATGGAAGAAATAAGAAAAAACCTGGTTTGGGGAAGTTGGGCACAACGCGGATTCTTGATTGAATGGCTGGGATGCGTGGATCGTCGGCTTTCAGAGTTGACATTGTGTTATGCACAATCGAAATTAATTTCAATTTCTTTTTTGTTTTTTTTTTGGTTGAATGTGTGTGTGTGGTGGGTGTTTCTGTATCTGTCTCTCTTCTTTGGTGTGTGAGAGAGAGTTTTCAATGGAGGAAAGAGAGAGAAATTACTTAATAGGAAAGTGTGGTGAGAGTGTATCTATATGTGTGTGTGTGTGTGTGTGTGTTTGTGTGTGTTTTGGGGGCACTCTGCACAAGAGAGGCAAATCTACTTGATAAGCAAAGCGTATCATGCTAAAATCTATTGATGTTATATCATATATGCTATTTTCTAGGTAATCATATCAAAAAAAATTAAAAATAACAAATAAAATATATATATATATATGTATAGCACTCTCGACCCCGAATTGAAAAATAGAAAAAAAGGCTAAAATAGTGCTGGGGCCATTTTTTTTTTGGGGATGTTTTGTTTTGTAGTTTTTAAAAGAGTCAAAAGCAGTTTGCC